TTAACCAGTGGTTATGGATGCACAGATGATCAGTGCAAAAAACAGGCAGTGGCATAYTGTGATTAGGGATTCCAGTCCTCAGATCGGTAACCTACAAAATCAGTTATCTCCTCTCAAATCAGTCGCACTCATACACACACACCATTCAGCCATCATACATGGGCATGCCCCTCGACATGGTCCTGGCATGTTCAAACTACGCTTCATGAAACTTTGGCCCTTTTGCCTTTGGTCTGCCATCTGCTTCCAATAAACTAAGCCAGCCTGATTCCTCTGATGTTCCCTCCACTTTGAAAAACACAAGAAAAGAAAGAGCAAGCCAGGGAGACAGAGAGTGTGAGGGAGAGAGAGACAAAAATGAGAGCAAGTACGAGTGAGCCAGACGGACCCAAAAAGAAACTGAAATAAGGGGAACAAGAGAACATCTCAAACATATTATTACATCTTCCGTACTGCTGGTAAGGCCACCCTGATTGTGTTTAGAGTGCACCGGTGTTGGAAGGTTTTAATCCACAACTTTTCCACTTCGTGATTACTTCCATCGTATTTGTAATGGGAAGGGACAATGTTTCTCTTCCTAGCYTCACCCCTGCAAACATTAGACCACATTGCACCTTACCAACAGGCTCTGACAAAATAAAGTTTGTCAGTTGGTTAAATAAAGCATGCTCCTTGTGGTTTTCCAAAYTTTTTTCACCTTTTCCACTCAATAATCATGATGTAAATCTCAGGTTTGTTGTATAACTCAACAGAAATATRCTCTATATATCATTTGGGGCTTTGTAACACAGAACTGACTGTAAAATTCCTCTAGCTCCAAAGTGTTAGAGTAAAGAGAGGAAAGAAACTTTTTCTTCTTTACATTTTTAAATCCTAAAACTGTATGAAAGAGTCTAAAGAAAACACTGTTGATAAATCAAGCATGCAAAACCTCACACAATGTCACTTCCTGGGCTTTGTAGATTATTTCTGACAAAGTAAGTAAGTTAATTTTCTATCATTTTAACAGAAAAAAAGCTTCATGTACAAATTAATTGTTGCCATTACTGTTTTAGTAAAGTCTGCTTTAACAGGGCAACAATCATTTTTAACCATGCATTTGATATTTGGTATTACAGAGTCTCTGTGTGTTACACTAGTGAAATGTGATTAAATACATGATTAAATAACACTTTGTTTTTTTTTTCTTTGGTTTTCTTTACAGTAGCTTGTGAATGAAAGATCACATTATGTAGCTACATATTAAAAGGCCTACTATAAATGGGCTGTTTTTTGTAGAGTGTTTTTGTACTGACACTGTCAGTCAATGGGTTGGGGACACTGAGAAACATTCACTGGCCTGGCTGTCACCAATAGCCRTAAACACAATATTGAATGTGTCATRCCCTTCAGCCACTGCCAAGATAACTGCAGAGGGGAATGGTCAGCTCAGACGCTCTTTCCAAACATCAACTAGACCAGACTCTATCAGAAATAAAGATGTATCCATCGAGCCAACAAGGTTTCGACTCAGATTATGTAGAGATATTGTGGTACTGCAGAAAATGTGGCAAGCTGTAAGACCAAGACAGACTGAGGAGCAGACTGAGATGGAAAGATGGGGGCAGGAAGACAGATAGAGGGATAGAGAGGGTGAGCAGGATGGCAGACTGCCGAGCAGACGGATCCTGGTATGGCAGGAGTTCTCGGCAGGCGTCATCTGTCCCTAGCAGGCCCCCTTGAGCCGCCAAGTATTCACACCCAAATACCCTTCGCTGTTTGTCACAAGTGCTGCTTTAGATTGTCACCCACAACCCAAACTACTAAATACATTTATAATGTGAATACTATTAAAACTTCGAGCGTATGGCAATGTAAGAAACCCTTCTTCTGACTGCTTCCTTCTAGCTTTCACTCAGTTTTCTCAATGCCATTTGGTATTTCCTCTTAGACCGGTACGGTCTAGGCCAGCTTGGCTGAAGGTGCAAAGCGGCAGGGTACCATTGAGACAAGTGTCTCAAGTATGTAGGACACCTTGTCTATGCTGTGCCTGCTTCACACGAGCCCTGTGAGCGGAGTCATGAGGGAGCACCACGAAGAAGGAGTTTAATTAGGAGCAAGCCTCCAAAGGGGCCACAGAGAAAGACACAGAGCCAAGCAAGAAGAAAGAGCTTTTTTGCCTTCTTTCCACCATACCATGCTTATTTTGATCCATTTCTCTCTCATTCATTTACTGAATGTCTTCCTGTAGCATTAAAACATTTTTTATGTAGAAATGCTCTGAGGTTAGTATTTTTGTTTGCATATATTTTATTTTTCATCCATTTGTTACACACCATTCCCACACTCCATTCTGCATATAAGTTTGGTCGTTTTCTACAGAGTAAGTGATAAAAATATAATTTTGACACTTCGAAAAGAAAAATCAAAATACCATTTTTTTAAGTAGGACTTRCATTTATTTGAAAAATGTCATGCTGACAGTATAGTAATCACACTTGTATCAAATGGTTTTGTGTACAATTTTGGCCACAAATAAACCTCACCAAAGTGTGTTTGTTTGCTTTTTTATCTTATCAATAAGTTTATCTCAAAGTGGTGAGTTAAAGGGAAGAGTAAAAAGTATGGGAATGGCAAAGCAAGGGCAGTAAGGTGGTGAGGTGGAAAGCGCAAGACTGAGAGGTCCATTTATGGCTATTTAGGAACACCAACAGATCCCATTGGTTGTTGGGGTTATGTGTCAGTGTCTGGCAACAGGTGTGATGTCACTGAACAGGTGGACATAACTTGGATAAGTGGCATAGCATCCTTGAACCCTACCCCAAATATGTTGAGCTCTGCTGGAGAGCTAAGCCTGGGCCACATGCCTCATGGTCATATAATACTCGCACCATGGCTGCCTGCTAACCCATCAAATGCCCTGTGTGGCTATTGCCCAACCCCCTGCCAGACAAAAACTCAGTTGCCCCATATGGGTATCACCTTTAGCTTGGCCCTTGTTCCTCATTTCCCAGCATCTGCTGCGCCGCTGTTCTTCCTAGAATGGAAGTGAATCCCTCCCTCACTCAGCGCTGGTGGCAGTAGGTGGAAATCTAAGTTAGTAGGAAGAAAAAAAGTTGTTTTCACTTGTGTGCATTCTCATGTGATTCAAGGAAGGCCAACAGTTCATCTCTTGTCAGTTTGAAATGATGTGTTGCCAAGGCCGGGATGAAGCGACTCAAAAGAAGTAGCAAACTTTTACATCTCGCGTCTTTGCCAAAAAAGACAGCGTTTTAAACCTCTGCAACCCCTTTGTTCTCTTCACTCATCCTCCTCTGATAGAGCAAGAGTGCCTGATTCACTGTAGGTCTGTTAGGAGCCAGATCTCCTGCATCGCCTTGGTTGATTTGTTCGATGTGATTTCCTGAAAACTGTCAAAAGATATGAGAGGTGCTTTCAAATTCAGAATTCCAGATTTCCACTCTTGGGGCCAAGTGAGGATTCAGAGGAAGAAATGGAGAACCGGCAAATGTTGACACTTACAGTAGCTGCCTCGCCACGAGACGCCTCAGGAATCAAACAGTTATCACAAGCACACACACACACACAAAAGCGGCCCTCTAAGTTGACTAAAACCACACTCAAAACAGGCCTTTGTTGTGCTGACATAAGAGATAACTGGATTGTTATTTATTTTCTAAGCAGGCAGATSGCTCCTGTCATTTCTGCAGCTGCTTGTGATGGAGCAGCTTGCACTTGTATCTCCTCCGTGAGTGAGAGCTGACGGAGACAAACAAATGAGAGAAAGAAGTTCACTGAGATTAACTTATCTTAGCATCTACCTCCCTCTTTTCTCCTGCTCGGTCGTTCTTTCCTTTTTTCTTTTTTTTTCTTGACTCTAACACCCACTCTCGCGCGCCCACACATGCACACGCAAACACAGACTCATTCCCCTCCCACATACAGACACACACACACACTTGATCAGCATCAAATACAGGGTGTGCTAAAGTAAATTTAATTACGACTGTCTGATATGGAGCTTCAGATGAAAGTAGGAGAGCGCAGTGTGAAGCGACGACTGCATAGACAGGAGCAGGCCCGTGATATTCCTCCTGTAGACTAATCTCCCTTTATTAAAGCCAGGAGGAGAGAGGGAAGGAGGGTGGTGGTGGTGGGGGTGGGGGGAGTAGGAGGAGGGGGTGTCTTTGATGAGATCTGTAACTGTCAGCTACTGTACTTTTCTCCTCTCCCTTTCTGTCTTTGTCTCTCACTTTGCGAGGCAAATGAACACAGCACCTATCATGTGCACGTGCTGGCTGAGGCGCTGAGTACCATCGCACGCAGCAGTCCTCTCTGAAAGTTATCCCTGTTGTTAGGGTTGTCAACATTTTTGTTTAAAAAAGTGTGTGTTTGCGGAGGGGGGGGGTGTACATATGCAGCTATTCCTCTTTTTTCCGTTAAAGCTTTCTTTGTCTGTGTCTCTCCTCTGGTTTTGAGGGAGTGGTGAAGGACTGGAGAGTGTGGGTTTCTGCTATTTTTTTCTGCCCACTCCAACGGGGGCAGGTGGCCATCAGGTGGCCAAAACAGAAACTACCTCATTTAGAAGCACATATACCACAGCCATTCTCATTTTTAATTTAGAACTTTTTTTGCAAGTTCCCTTTTTTTCCTAATTTGTTTTTTGTTTTGACTTGTTGAATGTTGTTAAATCATATGTCATTTTAAATATTCAATTTCATGTTTCACTGTTGACTAAACAGCAAGTTTAACCTTGTGCCACCCTTTGTTTTTGGTTAACAAGAAAACGTTCAAAAGGGTTACAAATCCTAAACAAATCTTAAAATTATTCAGTTCCCAAGAAGAGAAAATTGGCTTTTATTTTTAATGTGTAAAATTTATGAGACTGCAGGTCCTCACTGGACTCTTTTTTATCCAGAATAATTCTAAAACATGTTTTCACACTCCATCATCATATTCCCGGATTTCGTTTTCCTGCCTCGATCCCCCTCAACAATGTTTTGAAACTGCTCTGTTTTCAGACGTTGAGAAAGAAGGGCCTAAACGGCTGTGACAGCCCAGACCCAGATGCAGACGACTCGGTTGGCCACAGCCCCGAGTCTGAGGAGAAGTACAGGAAAATAAAYGAAGACATTGATCTGATGATCAGCAGACAGAGACTGTGTGTAAGTACTTTTCAACGAACCCAGAGCCTTTATCTCACCTTTCTTTCCTCTCTCTCTCTCTCTCTCTTTCTCTCTCTCTCCTCTTCCTTCACCCACCCCACGCCTCCTGTCGCTTCATCCCTGTCATCTGTTCCTACCACCCATCGTTCCGTCCCCCCGTGTTTGTGTTTCCCCACCCCGTTCCCTGTGGTTGTGGGACCTGGCAGGCATTGAACAAGAAGGAGAACAAGGGCRGCGAGAGCCCGGAGCTCGAGTCTGCTCTCATCCTCACCCCACGCACTGAGGAGAAATACAAACAGATTAATGAAGAGTTTGATCACATGATAAAAACTCATAAGATACCTGTAAGTACTGGGTGAACGCAGCGCCGCCTCCTCAGCAGGCTAACCCRGCTAACCGCAATTGTTTGCCACTAGACTAATTGCACAAAGCAAGAGTGAGAGTAACCTCAGAGTGAGATTACAGTGTTTACTTGCAGTGAAGAAATTACAGTTCTTCAATTCTGCTTGCTTACATTTGAGGAACAGTCCTCTAATCTGACAGAAATGTAAACCCAAACCAGCAGGCATTTCCCCCTGTAATAATTAAGGACTTTCTCTTAAAACAAATTTTAACCTGACATAGTTCCCACCTTGAACCCGCGCTACCAGTATTGCCTTTCCTTGCTCTCTGGAGAGGTGTGGTCTGCATGTGTTTGTCCTTTTCCGCCATCAAAACACAGTGCTCAGTCACCAGCAGCATCGAGGGCAGGCGATGTGGCAATGAAACAGCAGCAGACCTTCACAATATTTCAAAAATCTTGCCATCTTGCTATAATTATYACAAACAAAGCCTTCAATAGCCTATGTCTCCTAATGGACACATAGGTCAAGACATGTCTGCTGCAAAACTTAAGAGTGTCAGTTCTGCAAAATAAGCTGACAGAAACCACAAAATGGAGGCCTATTTCTGTTAAAACTGAGCCTGCTTCTCATTCTGAATGCCCCATATTGGAATGGTTAGAAGTCTGGCGTTACAGAGAAAGACATAATTCCACAGTATATAAGTAAGAAGAGAACAGTAGTGTATAACCCACGTGGAGCAGAAGGCGATGTGGTTAGAAATAAGGCAGGGGCTGGTGAGTTGAGGTGGGGTGGCTTTGGGATCGGAGCTGGTGGGGGGGTTGGCGGGTGGACTCTGCACACAACAAGTGGCAGTTCAGCGTGTGGTCAGGGTGGCTGCCAAGCACTGGGCCTCTGGATTGCAGGGGACTGTTGGGGGGACTGTGGGGAAAGGCAAGGGAGGAAGATGAATGAAAACAGGAAGGATGGCACCAGTTGAAAGACAGCTTACAAACGGGGCCCTTCCATCCAGTAACGGGCTGTGCGCGCGCACAGGCGTGCTCGTGCAAGCTGCCTTCGCTCTACACAGAACATCTCACAGACAATCACGAGATTCAGAACTCTAATATGGAATCTGAGATGGAAGAAATTACACAGTGGATGGATGTAAATAAAACAGAACAAGGGACAGCCACTGGCTGGTTAGAAAAGAAAGCACCCGTCGGTTTTGGCTCACCCACTCTTGTGTGAATTTGCAGTTACAGTGAAACGCACGGAGGCCCACAGCGAAATGTGGTCAGAGTAACAAGCTTTGTATGTTAAAATAATATTTGGCCTGGTAAAAAAGCATCAGCAAATGGGGGGAAAAATCATAGAACTGGAAGCAGCGCTAGCCCATTTCCACCTAAAGCGGGSTTGATGATCTCCTTGATACAGTCCTTCCACGGCTCTAAAACACATGGAAATCATTTAGAGCGCTATTTTCTACTTCCTAAAGCTAACACGCAGGATCAACCACTTCCAGGGCACTCCCAGGGTTAAGCCTTACTGCCAAATGACACAATAAATATGACAAACTAGATGCCTGAGGCTGTCAGGCCACCTCTGCTCATGTTCCTGATGAGACTGCTGACTGATCTTCATCTGCCGTGCAAAACTTTTGGCATTAGGCTCTATGGGACAAAAAAAATTAAAAATAAATAAGCCTCAATGTCATTTCAGACACAATAATGCAAATAACAGACAAATATTAATGGATTTTTTAAAGGTTTTACRTCACAAATTCAAAAGGCAGAACCAGCAACTAAGTACTTTAGAACAATTTATGACAGTAGTCGCCTCCAAAGTGACCTACCTAGGCACATCAAATCGGAATGATAACGTGTTGCCAGGCAATTTATCATCCCGGGGGGGACGATTAGAATAACTGACAAGCAATTGTTTTTGTTTTCTTTTTTTGTGCAGAGCTTTCTTTATTCCCTTTCACCTCTTGTCCTATATATTCTGGGTTCATTTTTGTACATTTTCTGTCACCTGTACATGTTTTTATGTCCATTTTCCACTCTTGTAAAATTAGATGTCCTTAATAGCACCATCCTTACATTTCTTTGTGTTCCTGGAGTGTTTCTGAATCATCCTTTTACTCCTTTCTGAAAGCCCTCTTATTCCTTTTTTTTTTTGTTCATTCACCTGAATGGTTGTTATATTTAGTTTAATCACACTTGTGGCTTTTTTTATTTCCCATTTCTTTCTCAGCAGGCTGTGCCCCCATCAAACTATGACATGCCTGTGTCCATTCCTGCTAGCAACCAGAACAATCTAATCTACAGTCATCCCGGCGGGTCCCTCAGCAACCACAATCTGTTGCCGTTAGCGCACCATGGTCTACAGAGGAATAGCATGTCTCCTGGAGTGACACACAGACCCCCCAGTGCAGGTAACACAGGCAGGGCCTCACATGCACTCATGCATCCATGCACTTGTGGTTATCCCATCTGTTAATCCTCCCAAGTGTGTGTATGAACCTGTCTGTCATGCTAATAGACACAGACACATCAAATGTGTAATTTAATTTACGACAGCTACCCACAATATTCCACCTAAAAGCGGCAAATGAATCTAAAGTCTTTTCCTCCCACATATAATCACATATTCCCTACTTAGTATTTTGTCAAATGTAACAGTAAAATGATACTAAACAATGTTAAATCACAGCCCACGGTTATACTTATTTAGTGTGGGACTCTACACTTGGCACGTTTGGCACTGAGTTGCTGGTGACAAGCAAACTGAGCCTGTTGGTTTATTATTGTTCTCCACAGTTTTTGTTGGTTTTAATTATTTAAATTTTCTGCCCTTCTTGGCTTTAAGGCCGTTGCCTACACCCTCACCCTGTCATTACAACGGGATGCTAGAAAAGCCAGCGCAAACCAAATATGAGTTTTGGCGCTTGTAGCATCCATAGTGAACCGCACATTGTCCTGACCCTCCCACTCTTCCACCTCACATGTTTCAAAAATAATAAAGTGCCATTTTTCTTGGACAGTGCCTTTATGTATCCATTGGTTGTCCAGATGCTTTGCAGTAAAGTTAGTCCACAGTGATGCGATTAAAGTGAGAGAGAGACAGGAGGTAGAATGGATGCTACTGTACGTGGGTGTATATCCTCTAATGGGTTTCTCTCCTCTGCTTTGCTCGTTATTTCATCTTACAGGTGGCCTCATGGGCGCTGACCTCACCACTGGCGCAGGCACCAGTGCTGGTAAGAACGGTCTCCTCACCTCATACACAGATGTCTACCAACACGCACAGACACACACATTCATGTCACCCACTCACCCACTTGGGGCCATAAAACGCATGACTAACACTAACCCAAACCCAAGTGGAGAGTTTGTCCATGATGTGTTGAAGTTAGTGGTCGTGGAGTTCATCTGGGAATGTTTGTTTGGTGCCTTGGCTGTGACGCATCCTGCCTGCTTTCTGCTATAAAATGGTGAAACAAGTAGGAGATAACAGACGTAAAATAGCACTGCATACAGAAACAGCAGATTGACAGRTCTTTTTAACCAAATAAAAGAGTTGAAATGAATATCATTTGAATATAAAATACTATATGTTTTGCCTTCACCTAAATAAATTTAAGATTTTCAGTTTCTGATGGTGCCGTAAAGCAGCCAGTACTTGAAGGAACCCTAATGAGTTAGCTTTTGTTTGTTCATGAGTTTGTCCCTGAGGACATGTCAGGCGCAAGTTTATGGCAGAGAGACCCCCCTTTTAAAGGGTTAAATTTCACAGTGCATACAGTGCAGAGTGTAAAAATGGAGAATTGGGGGCGTCAGTCGGGCACAGCTGGGCAGCCTTGTCTGGCCCCCGAGGCTCTGACACGAGGGGTCAAYGCCTGGTTTCTCTGTCTGGTTTGCTCGTCGCACACACAAACACGTGTGCACGACACAACAGGGCCGTTTGTTGTGGCGTGTGTTTCCATTGACGGCGCTTCGCAGCGCATGCTTCAAATATAGCCTTTGTGTCGCCATGCTGGGGGAACAGAGGTGCTCTGTGAGCCCTTCGCAGCCGTGAAAAACACAACGCCGCGAGAGAGTCATGTGAAAGATCCCATTCAATGCGTTCTTAAATCTCATCTCGGGGGAAGGCAGATAGAGTGCGCTTGAGGGGGGACTCCAGTGATAAATGTCCACTGATGGTGGTAGCATGTGTGCAGGAGAAACAGTGGGGGATCACAGATGGAAATGTTCTGCGAACTTGGTCAGCCATTTTAATGATGCTCCTCTAACTTCAGAGTGAAATCATTTTAAAACWCCTTCGCATTTCACATCTCTATAACGTAAAAATGTTTAGAAGCCAATAGGTTGTTACCTAACTGAGTACTTAATTAGCGCTATGTTATTAGAAGACAGAAGGTTTGTGGATGCTTGTCTTGTGAACACACAATTTCATTTGTGACACAGTTGGCAAGAGTTAATGACAACTTTGACAATTATTTTTCTTTGGAACATTAGCTTTAAAATATGTGTTTTGATCATGACTGGCAAAATCTTGACATTTAGATTGTGAATTTTATCAAAACACTGTTATTTTTTTCTCCTTCTATGCAAATATGGCTCATGAAACCCAGATGTGGGGGAGTATTCAAAACCACCAAAGGTCCCCAGGTAATTCTAGGCTACTGTAAATGGGGCACRTCACTGAAAGGCTTAGTCATCATGTCTTTTCTATAGAAATATTGCAGGCAGTGTGTACACACATGTGTTTGCCTGTTTATGCAGTATATCTCTAATCTGTCATTGCCTCTGCTAGCTAAAAAAGGAGCATGAAGAGAAAGAGAKCTTATAAGAGGAGCTCCGTTTTTAGGCCCCAACTTGTGAAAACCTAACTGCGACCATTTGTACAATTAGGTAGCTGTCGTCTGTGCTCCAATCAGCACTCTCCTCACCAAAGCTCTGTGAGGAGCTAACGAGAATCCCCTGTCACCTCTCACCTTGATCACACACCAATTACTTGCTTAAAAAAAGTTACATGCTGGGTGCAACGGTCAGACACTGGCGGTCAAAGGCACAGAAAACGCAAGCTGAAAAGCACGTGTACACCAACTGACAAAAAAAAAGTCACATACAACGGATTAAACCATGTCTGCTTCAGCCTCGGCTGCACCTCACACCAACTGCACAAGTCGCAAGCGTGAATGTGACACCATAAGTTCAGTTGGAGAATTCAGGGTTGAATGCACATTTGGCCAAACCGCAACGGAAGCGTGTGAGCATGGGGAATAGAATGGAGCGCGCCTGTTAGACCACAACAGGACATCAGAAATTTGTTCAGTAACAGTAAAATGTACACGAGTTTAACCACACCTCCCCTTTTTTTAATGTGTGTGCAGGAGGGAAAGAAAGAGAGAATGAAGACTCTGTATGGGGCCTTGTCAAACACATCTGCCTCAAAGTGCCCCCATCTAACCGTGGAGCCAACCAATGTTGACCTTAGCTGCACCCCAACACTTCAGAAATAGCATAAAGCTGTTTATCTGAATCTCAGATCAGATGTTGCTCTCTGGCTCTTTCTCTCTCTCTCTCTCTCTCTCTTTGGGACTTTTACATAGCAGCAAAAAAAAGACTCCTTGCTAAGCTATGTTTAATTTCAGTACTTCCTCTAAATAGGTGACGCCAGCCAGCTAGATTTTGCAAAGCAGCACGAAACGAGGAGAGTGGAAATCAACTCTGGGTATCATGTCTTCAGATGATTTAGCGATTGAGCCTCTATTGAATGCACTCACCCTAAAATCAGGAAGATCACGTTGCAGAATGAGAAGATTTGAGTCCCAGTTCTTGCTTCATTAGTATAATTGGCCTGTGATTTTACTTTGGAAGTGCTTAAGGACTGGCCAGTGCCACTCATGATTATAGTCTTCTAACATATAATTGACTAGACTGCAGCCATCTCCACAGGGTGGCAATACACAGATGTCTGATTAACCGCCACCAAGATGAAGTCCGTGTCTCTTTGGGCAAAGTATGTATTAATGTCTCTGTATAGCCCACTGTCTATTTTACTCATCTGTACAGAAACAGTGATGCACTTCCTGCTGGGTTATTTATTAACGTATGTGTGGTGTGTGTGCATGTGTGTGTGTGTGTGTGTTTTACTTGTGAGTGAGGTCTCATTCATCTATCTCCACATGCACCCACTCAAGTCTCATAAAAGGCCAGTCGTAAGAATGAGAGAGCGGCAAAACTGAAGAGGCAGCTGCCTCTTTGCTAATGTTAGAATGACATTGGAACTAAGATGGTCCATTACAAAAAGAAAAAAAAAAAAAGAAAACGTGCATCCATATGCTTTGCTTGTGTATAATCACCCATGCATCATGCAAAGCTTAAACTGTGTTAATGTACTCTTAATGACACACAAAAACATTGGTGGATCGGTACACATGCCACATAAAATGACAAAGTTTATGTTAACAGCAGCTTAAACGTGTTCGCCAGTAATGACACAAACGCACACGCGGTGACGTAGAGCTGTTTTCTTGTTTTTCTGTCGCCCTCATTTTCTTTCACCACTAGCGGTCRTTTACTCTTCAGATTGTTCAAAATTGAGCTTTTGAGACTTTTCATTTCCAAACAAAAAAAAAAAAAACCTCGCTCTCAAATTAAACAAAGATCAGCGAGGGAAATTGCCCAGGAAGACATCTGCGACTCATTTTCCCCGGAGTGTATGATTAGGAAATTCATTTATGTCTAACGTATAATTCCTCGTCGTCTTTCAAGTGGGAATGTCCACACGGTGCCCTGTGTTTCTACCCCTTGGAAGAAAAAAGAAGGAGTAAGCGGAAAAACAGCCCAAACTGAGTTAGAAACAAAGACTATGATGGTTGCAAAAAATAAAATAAAAATTAAATGCTCCACTTTTAGATTTCTTTCTTTCTCTTCTTGATTATTTGACTCGAGGTGACCCCTACAATAACATTGATAGGATTTCACCCAATTACTTTTAAAGCAAGAAAGTGGTGCATTTTTGGTGCAGCSTGTATAGCGGATAGTAAATCTGGTAACAACACTAAGTTGGGGTTTTGTCAGAAGCGTTCTTAGCTCTGTTTTCCCAATGATCTGTCCTGTCCTTCTGTGGTCCTGCTGCCCATAATTAGAGGTTTTTCTAAGATTCATTTACTGTTGCTGAGCACATGAAGTCTGCTGACAGTGACAAATGTAGAGGGTGTGGATGAGTTCATTGTTTAACTTCCTAACAAACATTTGGGATCACGAAGGCAAAAACAGTACATCTGTTTGACTGTTTGTTCTGCCACGGTGCCCTTCCATGAGTCCCCGTTTACTGTAAGTGCTCCAATAAAAGTCCCACCACTGGGAAATAGAAATGAGATCGAAACACTGAAAAGGAGCACAGTGGAAAAATGGTTTCCTGTAATTCTTAATGAAGCTACACTATCATGGACAGCAGTCGTTTTAAGACTCATTTACTGTAACTTTTGAAGAGGGTTTGGGAATACACAGCTTATGGTTTTATYGTTAGTGGAGAAAACTGATGTGTGTCTGTGTCTTTTCTTTGTTCTTGTAGGTAATGGCTATGGAAATCATCGTAACTCACCTGGACTGCTAGTCTCCACCGGTGGAATGAACAAGAACATGCAGGCGAAGTCTCCCCCACCTATGAACCTGGGCATGAACAACCGCAAACCTGACCTTCGTGTGCTCATCCCCCCTGGAGCAAAGAACAACATGCCYTCCATTGTGAGTAATCTTTGCATCTTTAATTTCATGTCATCTTTCTTTTGTTTTCYACATCTGCTTTCTCCTTTGTTTGTTTTCCGACCCGTAATTTAGTTTTTTCATTGTATATTTTCTTTCATGTTCTCTCTATCTTATTTTCTTTTGTTATTTTATCCTTTATTTGTATATCAGACTTGGGCTGATAGATTTATGATGGTAAAAAGTTTCAAGAAACACTTTTTTCCCCCATTTATTCTTGGTCTAATGCTCAA